CCCATCCCCATCCTCCCCCTCCTCCTCCGCCTCCTCCTCCTCCTCCTCCTCCTCCTCCTCCTCCCCTCCTCCTCCCCCTTCTCCTCCTCTTCCTCCTCCTCCCCCTCCTCCTCCTCCTCCATCTTCTCCTCCTCCTTTTCTCCTCCTCCTCTTCCTCCTCCATTCCTTTTCCTTATTTATTTTTATATATATATATATATATATATATATATAAGTTCTCCCTGTCGCACCTCGAGGCCAGTTTTTAAGGCGGGCTGGGCGTTCCGCCTGAGACGTTCTCACCGTGCATGACTCTGAAGTTTAAACGTTGGCAACAGTTTCACATATCGAGGGCGGGTGATTTTCAAAATGTGGCTCTCGCCTGAGCGCGGCGCACATTCGTTTAAAACCGTTGCACGAGTTTCACGGAACGAGGTCGGATGGTTTTCAAAATATGGTTTTCGCTTTAGCGCGGCGCACATTCGATTTACAAACATAGCAAGAGTTTATCGGGGTGAGGTCAGGTCGTTTTCAAACCGTGGCTCTCGCTTTAGCGCGGCGCACATTCGTTTTAAACGTAAGAGTTTCAGGGGTTGGGGGCGGGTGGCTTTCAAAATGTGTTTCTCGCTTTAGCGCGGCGCACGTTCGTTTTAAACAGTTGCAAGAGTTTCACGGATTGAGGGCGGCTCTTTTTCTAAATGTGGTTCCCGCCTTAGCGCCGCGCGCACTCGACGTAATCATTTGCAAGAGTTTCACGGGTTCTTTTTTATCAAAATACCAGGAATTGTGTTTTGGAAGGATTCAGGCTTATGCGGGTGCAACAGTTACGTTGGTTCTCTGTGTTGAAGTCACAGGAATGGCGTTCTGGAGCGATTCAGGATCGTCAAGATGCTACAGTCAGGTTGATCCGTGGTGTTGAAATCCCGGGAACAATGTTTTTGCATGCTTCAGGGTCTTCACACTGTTGTCTTCCAACGAGGCAGTTCCTTCAATGGAAATGAGCCGTTGCAGGGGCCGTTGAAGAGGGAGCTTGGAGGGAGGGTTTACTCCAACATCGTTGATGACTGTCGGGTTTCCACTGGTCCTCCTCCTCCTCCTCCTCCTCCTCCTCCTCCTCCTCCTCGTCCTCCTCTATCGTCCTCCTCCTTCTTCTCCGCTTCCTTCGTGGCGGAGAATCGCTCCTCCTTCGCCGGCCAGCGCCTGGGCGCGCCGCCATGCCCAGGGACCGGGGTTCCGCTTCTCCGGGGGCTCATCGCCGACGTGTCGGGGGCGCAACGCGGATCCCACGTCGAAGTTTCCCTCCTGGGCGAGCCTCCCTCTCGTTTGGGATGCAACTCTTGGGGGGTCAAATTCTGATTTTGCACTGGTCCGAAGCCCGGCTTAATATGGTTTCATCCCGCTCAATCCCGCTCAATCCGAGGCCCACTCCGGCGTAATAGCTTCCAAATGGGGCTTAATCCTCCTTATTCTTGTCGACGAAAACTCCCAGTAGTGTCCCAGGGCCTTTCGAGGGACGGTGGCGACGTCGGGGTGGTGTGGAATCTACTTTTTCCCCGTTCCCCTGGGGCAGCAACGAAACGTGTTTTCACCAGGATCCCGTATACACCAGGATCCGCTTTCCTGTGCGAGTGTCAGTGCGGGCCCGGAAAAAGTGTCGGTGTTTTGAGTGTGGTTTCTTATTTCGCCCCCCCCCTCCACCCCCTGCAGGCTGCTGGGCGGCGTCGCCATCTCGAACGCGGACGCGAGTGTCAGGCCTGGGGAGACGAATCATGCGCATTCCGACGACGCTGACGTCGACGCTTCCGAGAGATCTGGGCGATCCCGGAGGTTCTCGTCGCCACGGTTTGACGCCGCTCGAAAAAAAATGCCAGGGTGGAGCCCCGAGGGCAGGGAAGATAAGCACAAGGAGGAGGAAATCCGAGGAACCAGTTCGAGGCGGAAGTCAAAGGATTCAGGCATCCAGGTCAGAGTTTGGAAGTTGCCTTCGGGCCCCGTGATCGCCACCAGTCGATCAGACGAGAAGCTGGCAAGCAAGGACCTCACCAGAGGTCCAGGGAACCCATTCTCAGCGGATCAAGAAGGTCCAGGTTATGAGAGCACACCGGTACCGAGGCCTCCACCTCGTCTTCGTCCTTGGGGGGGAGTGCTCGCCGCCACGGCCGCATTCGCTCCGGAAGATTGGTCAGAGAGTATTGCAGGGCCCGTCTCGATCCGAGCCGTGCGATTTGATATCGATTGGGCCTGGCTAGATCTGAGTCGACTCCGATCTTGCGACGGTCCGATGCTGCGGCGCTACTGTGCATCCCTGCGCGGCCGATACGATTCGATGCCGAACTTGTGTCAGCGCAGTCCCATCCGATGCGCGTTCCGATCCGACCGAGCTGGCTTCCCGATTTGATGCTGACTCATCCTAGCGGCGGCGGTGTCGCTACCTGTTTTCCCAGCCCTCCCTGTTTTCCCAGCTACCTGTTGGGTATGCGTTTTGAATAGAGCACTGTCTGCCCCATCCTCCTCCTCTTTCTCCCCCTCTTCCCGCCTCCTCCCTTCTCCTTCCTCTCCTTCTGTCCTCCCGCCTGCGTCCTGCCTCGTGCCCGCGGCTCGCTCGGGTGTCGTCACTTGCGCAGCGGAGGTGCCGTGGGCTCATGGGAGGCCCAGCGGAGGTGCGTCTTATGCAGATCACCACGGGACCTCGCCGTCCTCTTGGGGGCTGCGATCTCCGAAACGGTCGCCATTTTCGTGGGCTCTTAGGCGGCCCAGCGGAGGTGCGTCGTACGCAGATCACCACGAGACCTCGCCGTCCCCTGGGGGGCTGCGATCTGCGAAACAGTCGCCACTTTCGTGGGCTCCTGGGAGGCCCAGCGGATGTGCGTCTTACACAGATCACCATGAGACCTCGCCGTCCCCTGAGGGGCTGCGATCTGCGAAACAGTCGCCACTTTTGGGGCAGTGCAAGGAGCCCCAGCGGATGTGCGTCTTACACATATCACCATTGGACCTCGACGTCCTCTGGGGGGCTGCGATCTCCGGAACGGTCGCCACTTTTGTGGGCTCCTGGGAGGCCCAGCGGATGTGCGTCTTACGCAGATCACCGTGAGACCTCGACGTCATCTGGGGGGCTGCGATATGCGAAACGGTCGCACTTGTGTGTGCTCCTGGGAGGCCCAGCGGAGGTGAGTCTGACGCAGATCACCACGAGACCTCGCGGTCTCCTGGGAGCCTGCGATCTGCGAAACAGTCGCCACTTTGCTGAGCTTCTGTAAGCCCCAGCGGATGTGCGTCTTACGCAGATCACCATGAGACCCCTGGGGGGCTGCGATCTGCGAAACCGTCGTCACTTTCGCGGGCTCCTGGGAGGCCCAGCGGAGGTGCGCCTTACGCAGATCACCGCGAGGCCTCGCCGTCCCTTGGGCGTCTACGATCTGCGAAGCGGTCGCCAGTTTTGAGGGGCCGCGATCTGCGAAACCATCGCCAATTTGTTGGGGCTCCTGGGAGGCCCGGCGGATGTGCGTTTTACGCAGATCACCATGAGACCTCGCCGTCCCTTAGGGGGCTGCGATCTGCGCAGCGGTCGCCATTTGCGTGGGCTCCTGGAAGGCTCAGCGGAGGTGCGTCTTACGCATATCACAACGAGACCTCGCCGTCCCCTGGGCGTCTACGATCTGCGAAGCGGTCGCCAGTTTTGTGGGATCCTGGGAGGCCCAGCGGAGGTGCGTCTTACGAAGATCACTATGAGATCTCGCCGTCCCCTGAGGGGCCGCGATCTGCGGAACGGTCGCCACTTTCGGAGCTCCTGTGAGCCCCAGCGAAGGTGCGTCTTACGCAGATCATCATGAGGCATCGCTGTCGCTTGGGGGGCTGCGATCTGCGAAACCGTCGTCACTTTCGCGTGCTCCTGGGAGGCCCAGCGGAGGTGAGTCTTACGCAGATCACCATGAGATCTCGCAGTTCCCTGGAGGGCTGCGATCTGCGAAACGGTCGCACTTGTGTGGGCTTCTGGGAGGCCCAGCGGAGGTGCGCCTTACGCGGATCACCATGAGGCCTCGCCGTCCCTTGGGGGGCCGCGATTTGCGAAATTGGTTTATTTTGCCGAGAACTTGGGAGGCCTAGCGGAGGTGCGTCTTACGCAGATCACCACGAGATCTCGCAGTTCCCTGGAGGGCTGCGATCTGCCAAACGGTCGCAGCTTTCGTTGGCTCCTGGGAGGCCCAGCGGAGGTGCGTCTTACGCAGACCACCATGAGACCTCGCCGTCCCCTGAGGGGCTGCGATCTGCGAAACGGTTGCCATTTTTGGGGCAGTCCAAGGAGCCCCAGCGGAGGTGCGTCTTACACAGATCACCATGGGACCTGGCCGTCCTCTGGGGGGCTGCGATCTCCGAAACGGTCGCCACTTTTGTGGGCTCCTGGGAGGCCCGGCGGATGTGCGTCTTACGCAGATCACCATGAGACCTCGACGTCATCTGGGGGGTTGCGATCTGCGAAACGGTCGCCACTTTCGTGGTCTCGTCGGAGCTTTAGCGGAGGTGATTCTTACGCAGATCACCATGAGACCTCGCCGTCCTCTGGGAGGCTGGGTTGCAACGTTGGGGGTCGAGCGGTGCTGCTCCCACGAATTATGTCTTTCTCCTTCTTGTGTTTCCCCACTCCCTCGTGGCCGCTTTCATGATAACGATCTGACTCTCAAGAGCGACGCCGCATATGCGAACATGTGAGTCTGGCCCGACGATCTTTGGCGAAGCGTTCAAGGGCACGGCGGATCCTTCAGTGCTCGCTTTTGTATTGAGCGGTCCGATGTATAGTCGCCTCATGTGTACAGAGGGTTGGATACGTCCCTGGGTAATTTGGAGGGGTCCAGTTGAGGCAATGGCGGCTCTCCCGCTGGGCCCAGATCCGTTCAAAATCGATCCCAGACAGGTCTTGCCCTGGTCCGCGCTTGTAGGCGGATCCAGCCGTGGCGATGGGAAGCTTCCAGGAGGCTCAGACATGACGAACGACGCCTGGGATGGCCGCCGTTGTCTTTCCGATGGTATTTCGTCCGTCTACAGTGAGTTACCCTCGGTGCGGGCTCACCGGGGTCCCCCCGATCGCCGAGCGCGAAGCGATGATGGCTGCTTGCGCGCTTGGATTTGGCCACCTCACGCTCCCCTACTCCGCGCACGAAAGGCCACTCTTGGCCAGGGCCTCTCCTGCCGTGTGTAGCCGATCCGTCTCCCCATGGAGGAAGCGATCGCTGCCCTCGGGGCACTTCCAGTCCTGCGGCCACCAGTCCTGCTGCGAGGCCCCGCTCACGGAGGCGCAGAGGGGGCTGCACGGCGTCCTGGAGGGCATCGCGGGAGCCAAGCACGTTCGCAAGAACTACACGCAGAAGGGGTCGCGCATCGGGCAAGGTCGGCGCCCGGGGGGGAGTGGCCCGAGGGGGGGGGGGGGCTCTGCTCAGACAGCGCGGTGGCCTGCTCGAAACCAGTCCCAGACTCTGAGAAGCCCTACAAGGGGAGGCCCCTGCCGAGAAACACCCTGCCTGCCTCCAGGGTGCCGTGGGCTTCTTGGGCTTCGATGGTTTTGCTCCAGCACCAAGAATCAGTGGACGCCCCGGGGTCTCAGGGTCGGGCTCCTCGTGGAAGGTCTCCTGTGAACCGCCCTTCGCTGTATACTGGTATCTTCCGGGCCATTCTATAGCAGGGCTGCGACTGGGAATTGCCCCGAGGGGGCCGTCACGCGGCAGTGCCCTGGGCGATGACTCACGGGTTGGGTGCTGACTCTGCTCGTGGGCGTCGTCGTCATCGTCGCTGTGATGCCTGGACGGTCCTCTCCAGAGTCCTCCCAGGCGGCAGAGGCCTACACGTTGTTCGTATCTACTTCTTCGAGGGTTCTTTGATCTTTTGGGGGGCCCAGATCCTTTCATTTCCAATTCTTCCATCCTGGACCTCTTCCTGGCCACTGGGGGGCCAGGAACAATGACAAACGAGCACAATCAGAAATGAGCACGATTAGAAACGAACGACGTGTACTTGTCCCCACATCCGAAGTTGGTCTCTTGACTTCTCTGGACACACTGCGCAGAGACCTTCTCCTCCCCTTCGCCACTCATCATGCTCAGAAGCTTTCACGGCACCTCCCTTATTGTGACTTGACAGTTTCCCAGGGCCAGCTGGACTGAATTTTGGACGCTTCACGTATCCCCACCCGCCCATCCGTGACCGGTGCCCAGGCGAAGTGTCACGATAAGGGAAGTATGTAAGCATACACAGAAACGTACAAAACTAACACATATGGATACCTTATTGTTGTGAAGTGCATTCGGGCGTGCTTGTCCCACCCAAACATGATTCGCAGAGGAGCGATTGTCAGCCTGAGGAGGAGGAAAAGGACGAGCAGAAGAGCCATACGCGCGTCTTAAATGCCTCTCGGAGTCTCCTCGGAAGTTTTTTGGGGAGGCTTCTTGGGGCGTCTGGGGGGCTTCTTGGCGGGCCCGGGGAGGTCTTTGAGCGTCTGGGGTGCTTCAGGGATCCTCTTGAGGCCTCTCGGGGGTCTCTTGGAGGCGTCTTGGACGCCTCTTGGGGCCGTCTGGGCGCCTCTTTTGACCCTCTTGGGACGCATTTCGGAGCCTTGGGAACGCCCTTGGAGCCATCTTGGAGGAGATCGTTCAAAGAAGGGGGTGTCCCTAATCAGCCTTGCCCTTCGGGAGCCCCTAAAGTCGCCTCTTTGAGCGCTCTTGGGGCGCTTATGGAGCGCTCTTGGGCGCTCTTGGGGTCGTCTTGGGGGTCTCTTGGGCCCCTCATGGGGCCCTCTTGGGCTATGGTGGAGTCATCTTGAAGCCTCGGAAGGCCATCGAAAGCAAAACGGCGGGAAACCCAACAACATATGTTTTTTCTTAGCTTTTTGAAGGGTTCTAATTTCCTCGGGGCCTTGGGGAGCTCGTTTGTGGAGCCGTCTTGAAGCGGTCTTGGGGCTTCTTGGGGCATCTTGGGGGCCATCTCGAGGCATCTTGCGCTATATTGAGCCATCTTCGAGGCCATCTTGGGCTCTCTGAGGGCCTCTTGGAGCCAACTTAGGCCATCTTGGACGCTCCGACCGCTCGCGGAACGCCCCGTACAAGTCCAGGCGAGGGGGTAGGGGGAGGGGTACACCCTTCCGCGAAGGGGAAGAAGGGGGTGGAAGAGGAATCACCCTCGACCACCTACGCCCAGAGGGCTGGTGGGATTCACCCCGCCCCCCCTTATCATCATCATCATCATCATCATCATCATCATCATCATCATCATCATCATCATCATCATCATCATCATCATCATCAGCAGCAGCAGCAGCAGCAGCATCATCATCAACAACATCGTCAACATCATCAGCATCATCATCGTCACCGTCATCATCATCATCATCATCATCATCATCATCATCATCATCATCATCAACCTCATACTCATCATCAGCATCAGCAGCATTCGCATCATCATCGGCATCATCATCGCCACCATCGTCATTATCATTCTCACCATCATCATCGTCATCATCATCACCACCATCACCATCAATGCTTTCAGCCTCATCAGCATGATTGCCATGATGACCATACTCAGCAGCGTCAGCATTGGCATTAGCGGCATCATCACCATCATCATAATCATCAATTTCAGTTTCATCATAACCATCATCATCACCACCATCATCATTACCACAATACTCATACTAACCATCATCATCACAAACATCATCAGCAACAGCATAATCATGATAATCGCCATCACCATCATCATCGTAAGCATGGTCCTCAGACTAATCATCATCACCATTGTCATCATCATCATCCGCATCAACATCATCATCATCATCATCACCATCGTCATCGTCATTAACATGACAACCACCATCAGCATCATCAGCATCAGCATCAGTACTGGTGCCCACATCAGCATCATCGTCATCGTAATCGTCATGGTCACCATCGTCAGCATTATCATCATTATCCTCATCGCCATCACCACACTCATATGTCGTCGCACTTACGCGCTCATACAAGCATCATCACTGTTCTCTTCATCACCACTCACACGCTCAATCACTCAGTAACTCGCACGCGTACGCTCACACGGAGAATCTCTCGAACGTGGGCCTCGTCCGTGAGTGGATTGCGCGAGCGCCACGCGCGGGAGCCCCCGCCCCTGTGGGGCCCGCAGGTCATTTCGGTAATCCGAGGCGCCCATCGGAAAATTGTTTCAATCAACGCAGGTTTGGTGACATCCCGTTCCTGAGAAAATTGGGAGCTTGTCTCGGGCCATCACTCGTCTGTGAGCGAATCGGGAGGAGGTCTCGAGCGGGAGTCCTGCCTCATGGGGCCCTCCTCTCCTGTTCACAATGCAAGGCGGCCATCAGAATCCCAGGTAAAACACAGGAGTCGTGTGACACCTGCGAGCCTTAGTCCAGAGACACTCTCGAGCGAGAGCCTCGATACTGAGCAAACTGAGCGGATGTCTCGGGCGCTCACTGAGCGAATCGCCAGGAAGTCTCGAGCGAGAGCCTCTCCCTGTGGGGTACTCACCTCATGTCAGTAATCCAAGGGGGCCATCGGAATTCCATGTAAAAATACAAGGTTGGAGTTTGGTGACACCTGTGAACCTGAATCCAAGGGATTCTCGAGCGAGAGCCTCGTTCCTGAGCAAATTGGAAGGATGTTTCAGGTGCTCGCCTACTAGTGACTCGCGAGAACGTCTCGAGCGGAAGCTTCGTTCCTTTGTCGAGCGTCCTGTGTAATCCGAGGCGGCCGTCCTCAGTCAAGCTTGCAAGCATCGGCAAGGACAAGCAGATGCCAGACAGGAAGAGAGCCCCCGTAGTCACAAAAACGACGATGAGGATTGCTTCCAGGTTAGTCTGGAACATTTTCATATGGGGTCCTACCGTCGTAAAGCATTTGTTCGTGCCCACCCGCACGTTCTGTCTTACTCCCATCCCACACCGAGAAGGCCCCCACCTTCGAAGACAGAGGCCCCCCCCCCCAAATGGCGCCCCCCCCCTCCTGCGCGCCGCCGGACAGGCACCGCGCTGGCGCACGTGTCGCCCGGCACGCTCCAAGAGGCCGTGGAGGTCCTGAAGGCCTGCGTGGCCGCCGACGTGGCCGTCCTGCCGCAGGGGGCGAACACCTCGCTGACGGGCGCCTCGGTGGCGCGCGACACGCTGTGCGACCGCCCGACCGTGGTCGTCAACATGCGGCGCCTGTCGAAGATCCTGCCGATCGGCGACGGCGCCCAGGTGCGGAGGAGGGCCACGTCGAGGCAGCGGCGGCCCGCATTGCCGCGCTCTTCGTGCGTTCTCGGGGCTTCCGGGGGGTGGGGGGGCCTCTCGTCGCCGCAGTGTCGGGTCCGCCCCGGAAGACGGGGAGCCGGCAGCGTTGTGGAAGTCGATCTGGAGAGGAAGCGTGCTGCCAAATAAGTTCCAGATGTCTCAAACATGTTCAGAGAATGTTTCACACAATTTAGATGCACTTTTATTTCAATGATGGGGCTGCTAGAGTGTCCACTGTCATGGCATCCACAACAGTAGCGCCCTCGAGAGGCAGTCCAGGGAGCGATGTCGAGCGGAGGTGGGCCGGGCGTCGAAGAGTAAAGAGTTGCAGCAACAGAAAGCTGATGGAGGACGATCAATGGAGAGGAAGCATGCTGCCAAATAATTTCCAGATGTCTAAAACATGTGTTAAACATATGTTAAACCTGCGAAACACACGATTAAAGCATGTTTAGGACATGCTTCCGACATTTTAAACACATTCTAAGTTCAATGAAAGGACTGTTAGGGTGTCCATTGCCGTGGCACCCACAAGTTGAGCGGGGGTGGGCCGGGTGTCGAAGAACAAAAAAAACGCAACACCATTGAGCTTTTGGCGCTCCGCGCGGAAATCTTGGAACCGCGCCCGGGCCCCCTGGCGGCGCCTCTGGCGTCACCCCTGGCGCGCTCCGCGCGCCGGGGAGGCGGGCCCGGCGCAGATCCAAGGGATCTGCCCAGACCTTCTCGAAAGTGTATGTTTATGCCGTTCGTCTCCAAGAGAAGCGCCGTTGTCTCGATCGGCCCTCCTCCGATAGGTGCTGTGCTTCTCGGGGGCCGGCATCTACGACCTGAAGCAGGTGCTGGAGACGCGGCACAATCGCGACTCGCACTCCGTCCTCGGATCTCTGTTCCTCAACCCCTCCGTCGGTGCTGGCATTGCCTTCGGCAGCGGCGGCACGCAGATTCGGAAGGGGCCCGCCTTCACGGAGCGTGCGCTGTATTGCAAGGTGACGGCGAGCGGGGAGGTCGAGTTGGTCAATACGTTGGGTCTCAGGAGCGTTGGCGACGGCGACGTCTTATCGTTCCTGGACGGCAAGGAAGAGCTCGCAAAAGAGGACCTGGATCCAAAGAGCAAGAAGGCCGCCTCGTGGCCGAACTACGGTGCAAACGTCCGGAAGTTGAACGGCGAGGTGTCCCGGTACAATGCTGACACCACTGGCATCGATTGCTGCAGGTCTGAGGGCAAGGTGATGATCTTAGCCTCCATTCACGACTCCTTCCAGAAGCCGAAGAGGTCCGAGTTGGTCTGGGTCTCTTGTAGAGACCTCGCCGCCGCCCACGCGCTGAAGAGGGAGGTCGCGCTCAAGGCAGAGAACTGCATGGCCCAGTCATGCGAGTACATGAACAAGGAGGTGGTCACGGGTGTTGACCGCGCTGGCAGGATCTTGATCAAGATGATCGAGCTTGTCGGCATGCAGCGGCTAGAGCCGCTGTGGAACCTGAAGCTCGCCATCGAGGCCACGGGCCTCCCATTCAGCGGCGTCGTCTGCGACAAGTTCCTCTGGTGGTTCAACGGCATCATCCCGAGACCGCTGCCCCCGGCACTGAGAGATCTCTGCCAGGAGTTCGACCACCACCTGCTGGTCGTCGACGAAGGAAGAATGTAATGAGCCGAACTCTATACACCGACGCTTTTTCCGGCCCTGCACCGAAATTTGCACAGGAACGCGGATCCTGGTGTATACGCGATCCAGGTGTATACTTTTTCCGTTGTTTCCCCGCGAAAGCTGGGAATAAGTACACACCTGATCACCCCGAAGTCGTCCCCGACCCTCAGGAAAGTCCTGGGATGGAAATGCCGCCCGCCACTGGTGATGCATGCATGCTCCAGTTTCCGAGAATGCCATCCGCACAAGAGTGGTTGTGTTGTGCGCGTGCCTCTTGGCTGGGAGCTTGGCCCCCTCCCCCTGGGCGGGTCCTCCGGGTCCTCCCCTGGCGCGCTACGCCCGCCAGGGAGAAGGGGGGGGCTCCAGCGCCGATCCGAGAAATCCGCTCGCAGCTCCGAGGGTTTCTGCTTCTGCGGTCGTTTCCTCTTCCAGGTGTAAGTCGGGGACGTTCCTCCACAGGACGAATATGGAAGAACAGTGAAAAAGTCGTCTGATGACGATTGTTGGTGCTCTCTGGATTTGTTGCTCAGGCTTTGACTATTTTTGTTGTCTTTCTTCCAGAACCCGCCTGTAGGAGGACACACTTGGCCTAATTGTAGGTCGAGATGGCCGAGTACTCGGAGGGCGAGGTCGACCGCCTCCGCGGCGCCCTCGAAGGTTTCGTGGCCTCACGGCCGGAGGGCCACGTGAAGTACCACGTGTGTGCCGACGCCTTCGAGAGGTCCCGCGCGACGCTCTTCCGCTTCGTGGTGGCCCCCGCCTTCCGCACGTTCACGGTGGGGAGCGGCATGCAGGGCCTGTCCATAGACTACGCGCTGCCCAAGAGCTTCACGGAGTACCCAGACCTGCCGGAGAAGCAGTACCCGATCGTCAACCGATGGGTCTATTCGCACTTCGGCTGCAACGTCTACCACGAGGACCTCGTCTTCGACAACGCCGTGGACGTCGAGGAGGCCAAGCACGAGATCAAGCACGCTGTGGAGCACACGGGCGGGAAGCTGCCTGCGGAGCATGGGCACGGGACGGAGTACAAGGCGCCGAAGGAGACGCAGGAGCGGTGGAAGAAGATGGACCCCCTCAACGTCATGAACCCTGGCGTGGGCGGCCTTTCGAACAACAAGTGTTACGGTGACAAGGCCGCACACTTGCGCTGAGAGGCCATCGCAGGGTCAGGCGGTTACCACCTCGGCGACCACCTGCCCATGTCAGGCGGGCGTCCATGTGGCACTTCAGTGCCAATGCCCGCCCATGCTCCACCCACCGCGCTGGAGGCCGCGAGAGTGCGCCACAACAGAGAGTCTTTGTTGCGGCGCGCTTCTGTTACAGGACGGGTTTCAGGAGGGGCACCTGTTTCTGGCGGGCGGTGTTTGAAGGAGTGCGCGTATCGACGCAGGGCGCACGACCCGCTGCTCCACGACATGATGATGCCAGAGTATGTCACTCTCCCTGCCAGGGCAGCGGCTTTTTCGTGGTGAGGTATGGCAGACGTTGTGTCCCCACCTGGTACAAACGCAGAAAGAGAGAGAGAGAGAGAGAGACAGAGAGCGAGAGAGAGAGAGAAACCAACAACAAACAGAGAGGATGAAAGAGAGAAAGAGACAGGGGAGAGGAGATCTCATACTCCTCATCATTCTCTCTCTCCCTCCTTAAGCTCCTCTCTTCTCTATTCTTCCTCGTCTCCGTTTCCTCCTCCCGTCCTTCTTTCCTTTTCCTTGTTTTTCTTTCCTCCTTACTCGCCGTCATCGTTAACTTTTTCGCCACCAGCTCCCCTCTTCATCCGAAGGAGCGGGTTTCACGGGTGCTTGGCTTGAGCATTTAGTCAGGTGCCCCTATCGAAACCGGGCGAATTCCCAACCCCACCTCCAACACAAATAGCAAGATTACCCTGCAAGTGGCAGTACTGCGTTTGGCTTGACACCGCTTGCACACTCACGCAGTGCAGTTGAGGCTGTGCTAGCAAAGTGCTGACGAGCGACGAGCGAGCTGAGGCTGCTATCGCAGCACTGTTTTGTGCACACAGGAGGCTGAGGCTGCAATACGCGAGCGACCCCTGGTGGCAAGCAAGCAAGAACAGCAAGATCAACCCACTGTTCCCCACCCGCTCCCAACCTCCCCCCAGGGGCAGGGGAATGATAGAAGCCAGGCCTCAGCGGATGCGTCCAGGAGGTGGGGAGCAGGCAGGATGAGAGGAGGAGAATAGAGGAAAGCATCAAAAGCTAGCATCACTAGTGATCGCGCCATCGATAGTGATCATGATGCGGTGGCAGAAACTGGAGCCGTTGAGCACCGTTGGGGATAGTCGGGGATCAGTTGTTAGCAGGAACCCGCGGGGGTCGTAGCCGTGACCGCAACCCTACACAGCTTTTTTTGTGAAGAGAAGGAACAGTAGGACTATGAGGCAGCATCAGCAGGAGGGAGGAACACAGGACCATAGGGGGGGGGAAGGTGATGGAATAACTTAGGAGCAGGGTCACGAGAAGCAGGAGAGAAGGAGGAGCTGTATGAAACATTTCGGTATGCGGTTTCCTCCTGGCAGGCCGGTGGGAGGGACAAGCAACGAGGTGGTTGGGGATGAAGGCACCGCATTCTCAGTGCCATATCGAGGGTTCCCGTCGTGTTGCTCCTGCTTGTCCGCCGTTTCTTGCTTCTCCTTCTCCGACTCCTCCTTTCTCTTCATCCTCGTCTTCCTCATCCCCCTTCCCAGCAAGCATGTACTTGGGAAGCGCGAGGGTCAGGCGGTGCAAGTTTTCCAGTGCACTTCGTTGAGAGTTAGGCGCCGCACCTTGTTTCGTGCCGTGCTCTCTGGCTGCTCTCTCTTTCGCCGCCGATGCGTGAGAGTGCCGTGTTCGGTGTCTGCTCTCTCTCGTCGCTGTCGAAGGCATGCCCAACCGCCGTTCAGTCGACGCGAATGACTTGCCAATCGTTGTGCTCGTCGGGGGCGCCAGTCGAACATTGAGTATTGCGGAGGTGTTTGCTCCTCTTGGGCGGCTGCGCACATTTAATGCCAGGGCGCAGTCAGCGTGTGGCCCTCACCTCGCTCTTTTCGACGACGTCGTCCACTCCCCGCCAGGACAGCAAACAAGACAACTGCCATCTCCCAGCCTCTCTCCTTCCGTGGCGCTGCCCTTCGCTGGTTCACGTTATGCTGGTCCTCCAGGGTCCCAGCCTCGTCAGCCCACACTTGGGGTCCATAGGGGGTCCTTTTGTGTTTATCCATGGGTCATGGGAGCCACCTAATTGTCATCGTGCTGGCTCTTGCAACTCGACGCTAACCGACGCAAGTTGACGCACATCGACGCCCACGGTACGCTTAATTGGCGCTGTCTGATCGACTACCATACTCTAAAAACGGACTCTCGAGGCCACGCAGGGCTCCCATGCTTTGCTTAGATGCCCACGCTCAGATGCCCACGGGGAGACCGCACGGCGGGACCGCCCGCGCAATACCAGTTCCACCCACACGCGCAGCAGGCTGCACGCCACCCGCCTCCATCGACACTCCCAGCAAAGCTCCAGGGGGACACTGGCAGCGGAGTCACACGCGAGCCGACCCGACGTCGACCTCCTCAACGGGTGCAGGTGTTCGTCTGAAGTATGGTTCCAGGGGCTGATATCCGTGAAGCGCCCGCGTCTCGTGCGCAGGCGCGTGCCGAGCGAGGATCGTTGTCGGTTTCGCTTGAAGCACTCATGATGGGAGTCATTCAGGAGGGGAAACAAACACAGGCACAATGAATCGTCGACCCCCCAGAAAATATGGGAAACTATTGAAAATGGGGGGGGGAAGACAAAAACCCAGAAACTATGGGGAAACTATTGGGTATCGTTTTGTTTGTGTGTATTCATGTGTCTGTGTGTCCCAGGGCCCCTTCAGTCATTGCCTCCAGGTGTGAACGCATAGGGAGGGCGGAAGGCCCTAACAGTGAGTGGCCAACGGCGTGACCTTGGGCATTTCCTCATGCTCCATCGATTCCTCCCCCTCGTCCTACCCCTCTTCTCCTGCTCTCCCACCCCATACAACTGGTATAGTAGAGTGCTAGCTTGATGGCAAGGAATTGGTGACCAACGCTTTGTGATCATTCTAGTACTCCTCGCCCCTGCTCCCAGGTCTTCCGCCCCTGTCCTCCCCCATCCTTTTCCTCCTCCTGCTCATCCACCTTCTGCCTCTTCCCCATGCCACCCTCAATAGTTTTGCAGTTGCCGAGGGGTCAACAGGTGCATATCGGGGCGGGGGGGCGGGCTGGGTTCACGATTTCCCGTGGTTTACCTCGGTATCCTTGGGGTGTGGTTGTCCAAGTTGTGCTCTTTGTCTGGGAGCGAGCGGATGAGGCCATCACTGGCCTCCCCGTGTGAGGTTTCCTTGGCTGCCACTCGCAGGCGTTATATCCAATGACTTCAGGACGGGCTATGGCCCAAAGATCAGGGGCAGACCTCGCGCCGAGAACTGTCCTCGCAGTCTGGGCGTGGCTGTTTCGCGTTTCAGGTTCGCATCGCGATGGGGTCCGTTCCTTTGCTCATCCTCCGGACCTCAGCCCGTGTACCCGTCCCCTCTCCTGCGTCTTGCTCGTGCTGCTGCGCTGTCTCCGTCCACCTCCAGCCCCCGTCTCCTGCTGCTTCTCCTCACCCTCGCCCCCTCACCTCTGCTCCTGGTGCTGCTGCCACTGCTCATTCCCCAGACATGCGATGTTTCGTTGTTTGGATGCGAGGTTTCAGGAAGTCTCGGCCATTTCCCCAGGGCCGTTTTTTCATCCCGAGTAGTTCTCTCGCGTTCCCAAGACCTGGTGAGGGCCCCCAGAGGCTGAAACGTTGCCAAGAATTGTCAGTCGTGTTTTTAGTTCACGACGCGAGCACGTCTAGGTCTGCTGCTGCTCCCCGTCCTTCTAGGCCTCCCACATGGGGTCCGCGTATGTGGGGTCGAATGGTCGCGCCGCATTGCCGATGCATCGGCAATGCGGCTCGGTGTGGAGCACGATGTCTTCCACGCCGACTGCGCCGATGCATCGCCGACGTCGAGGATGCATCGCCTCTGCATCGGCGATGCGTCAGCGATGCGCCGCGACTCTCCGAGCACATCTTCTCGGACTCCGTGTAGGAGGCCTCTGCGGTCGGGGAGCTTGGGATGGAGCGTGTCGCTCCGCTGGTCCTGGCCCGCTGCGCTTTGGAGCGGCTCGTTGTCCACTTCCCGGTCCCCGGGCGTCGCTTCCCTGGCCTTCCCCGAGCCCCCCGCCCCGCGGAGCGGAGCGACACGCTGTCCACCCGCAGTGCACAGCGCGTCGGTGGGGCCGCCGGGGCGACGCGCCGAGCAGCCGTTCCCGACCGCAGACCTCTCCCCCCCTCCGCATCTGGATGAACTCTGGACGACGCACTGTTCACTTCTAATTCTTCGAAAGTTCTTTGATTTTTGGGGGGCTGAGATCCTTTCATTTCTACCCGTTCTATCCTGGGCCTCTTCCTGGCCACTAGGGGGCCAGGAACAATTAGAAACGAGCACAATCGGAAACGAGCACGATTAGAAATGAACGACGTGTACATCTGGACGAAGCGTGGACAGGGGTGGCCGCAGTATGAAGGAAATCCAGCGGAGCTCGCGTTTCTGACAGGGCCGCGGAGGTCCACAAGAGGTCCCCATGAAGGCTCGCCCAGCACACGTTCGGACCCCATGTGGGAGGCCTCCAGTCCTCTCCCCCCTCCGCACATTCCCCCCGCCCGTCTGCCGATTTTCGGGGGCGGCAAAGAGGGGGGTGATGACTAGGGGGGGGTGGATATCATGGCGGGGGCCATGATATTTCCCCAGATCTCATGGCGCCTCTTCTTATTTCATTACGTCCCTGGTCCCCCCGCTGGGCCGCGCACATGCCGCCGGTCATGATTTGCAACCCCCCTCTTGGACACCTCCCTCTTTGCCGCCCCCGAGATTTAGATTCACATAAGGCATAATCAATGACATCCGGGCAAGTCTGGAGCGGGGGAGCTCCTGCGCGAGTCGAGGGGCAGAAGCAGCCGCCAGGCCCTCAATGAAGGGAGGAAGGCAGCGAGCGAGGGTGGGGGGGCGAACATGGGAGGGGAGGGAGGTAGGGAGGGAGGGAGGCGATGACCCGACCGTGGCCGCGCGAGACCCCCCTCCCGCGATGCCCAGGCGCAGCGGCGGCCTCCTCTC